AAGCAGACAACAGAAGATAGGTACTGTGGTCATAAAGGGATAGACATAGTCAGCAGCTCTGGTAGCATTTAAATGATCCTCAGCTGGTACTAAGGGGTCCCAGAATGCACGTGCGTGTATAGTTTTACAATGCTGAGTGTTTCTTGTCTTTACCTTACCTAGCCTAGACAGAGGGTGTGTATCATTTGCATATTATAAAGTTGGCCATCACAAGCAAATTTATGTAAAGTGACTCAGTGGCTGTAGAAAATTCCCAATACAGACATATTTTAAAAAAGTGCACAATTGCAAAGCAGAATGTTGCATATACAAACAAAGTAGGTGCAACACACTGTAATATTTTCCAGTGTTTAATGTTTTTTGTCAAATGCAATGCCATTGGTGTAATAATAACATAGGAGTAGTTAATTTAAAATTCTGATGCCTACTGGTTGTACGTACCACATTAAAGCCCAACTTCAGACAGCAGACAGTCAGTTGGCAACCAACTGATTTTCTTTCACTGCTTTCAATACGCAAGCCAATTATATGATCATATTACAAAAATACCCCACAGATCTATAGCTCTAGGCAAAACTGACACGTTATTGTATCTTTTTATTCATTTTCTTTTTTGTCTGCATACTGGAAGCTTTCATGCCCAGGTGAGCTCTCAGAAATGATAAACACACTCCTTAATAGCTTCTGTGATTTTTATGTGCACATGAAAGGTACACATCGTGGTTATGTCTGCATACAGATTAGTGACACACAATATGATGTTTTTGTCTGGTGCTTTGCCATATGTCAATTTAGTTAATCATCTTGTAAAACAGGCAGGTGTTTTGCGCTTAAACCACTTTAACAAGAGTGAAATGAATGAAGGTTCAGAGCAGCGATTAGTATTATATTCAAAGCAAACAGGTGCTTGACAAAACAGTAGTATTTGCCGAGGTTATGCATGTGCATATCTATGAAAAACAGACACAGGCAGAAACACGTACGCACAAAGAGGAGAGTACTGTAAGATTATTTTGAAATTCAGTGCATTTATATTGTATTAGGGCAAATCAGAAAAAGATTACAAGAAATAAATTGTTGTGTTGTTTTATTTACAAACTGCATTTACACGTAAATATGTATGTAAAGGAGGAATTGGTAAGATTATTGCTCTGTCATTAATAACCCTCCATTTTTTTCACCATCAAATGAGTAATGAAACACTACTTAAATTAAGAAAAAAATAATGTCCTTATTAACCATACTAATATTAAGCTTACCACAAGATAGATGTATTCCTTAATTTAATTAGCACATATAGACGTTATGGTGACCGGATTTGTTAAAAGTATTGAAGCATGTTTTAGTAGTAAAAGCACCTTGAAACCTGATCATTTACCTGCACTTTGTCTAGTGTATAGTCTGTACAATTAAATGAATTTGAGAAAAATATAATTCCTATTCTTAAGAAAAATTTCTTTGCCTCACCAGCAATCTTTTGAAATAATTTAACAAGTAATAAGCTAACTACTTAACAAAAAATAAAGGAAAGAAATGCTAATGATCTAAGTTCTATAGCTAACTGTAAGCTAGCCAGTGTAAGTCTTGCTAACAATTTGAGAGCATGTTTTTCAGTTTAGATAATATTAAAAGGTAAAATTATGCCAGCTCAGTCCTTATTCTTGGAACATAAGAGGATATATTCAAGCAGCATGTTTGACCGCTGGGCATGGGCGCACTGTTTACACAGCTTGTCATTGTTAGCAACCAATGGTAGCTCGCTAATTCTCTAAGTTAAAACTTGGAGGGATTTGACAAAAGAAGCTTTTTCAAAGCTAAAAAGAGGATGAAAGGGTGAAGGTTAAGCTAGAGACTCGAGAGTTTTCACCTGTTACTTTAGTTAGCTAGTCTATCTTAGTACAAGGTACATCATGTATAATTGCCCAATTTTATGATGCTTAAAGCTGTGTAGATTAGTATATGTAGGCAATATACAGTTGTGCAAATTTTAGTAGTTCCTATTTTCTGTTAATTTTAACTGAAGTTCTGTGAAAGTTTTTACAATCATTAGGTGAAAATTTAAGAATTTGCTAGGCTGCAATTGATAACATTTCTCATCTGATGTGAAAAATCACTGTAACTGAAACAAAAGACAATTTTAGTTTATCATTTTGTTGTTGTTGCATTTTTATGATAACACATTAATCATTTTTATGAGGCAGAAATGGCTTTCAGCTGTCATCTTCCTAAACCACCCACACCATCTCTTGCAAGTAAAACAGTAGATTAGGTCATGTAGTGTGATTGAGTCTCTGGAAATCACAGGAGTTAAAAATCTCTAAAAGGGCGCTTTCTCTCTAATGTCTTTGAATCTTTTTTATTATTATTATTTTTAAGGGCACTGAACATGTAAACCTAATATCTTGGGGCCAGAATCAGCATGAGCATCTGTCGCTTGCCACCCCGATTTTCCTTTGTTATCTGACTCTCCTGACTGTCTATTAAAGCTGAAATGCCAGGAAAAAATATTTCAAAGGGCAAGTCCCCATAACTATAAAAAGATCTAGAGGGATATTCTCTTGTGATTTAAAAAAAAACCCCAATGCTTTTGTATTCCAAGTTTTAAATGACAGTGACTTCTGCTTAAGAACTGATAACTTATTTTCATGTATCTCAGTTCATGTTGCATGCATTTTATTCTTTAAAAATTATACAGAAGATATATTAAATGGGAATAAATGTCAACGTGATGACCAAAGTGATGACCAGGTGTCCGTTTACAGCAAAACCTCAGGTTTTCAATTTTTAATGGAGAAAAATATATATATATATATGTATCCGGGAACCTGTTGAGAATTCTGTGTTTGCCTCAGAAATGCTTTAGAGGAAAGGTGACAAGAATTTAAAATGGACTGCTCACAGACAAAACAACATCAGCAGCAATGTGTCTTTTTGAAATAATGTCCTGATTACTCTGGATAATCTGCAGACAATACCGTGAGCAGATTTCATTGGAGCTCCCAAAGAAATGCTTCTGAAAAGTTTTGACAGCTTATGATTTACTGAGGATTTTAGGATAGCAAAAGAAAAATCCCAACCTCATACACCACACACAATCTGTCTTTGCCCACAGAGCAGCAACCCAGCAACAGCTTGGCTTTTCACAGCACTGCGAGAGGATTACTTTGCAAGCAAAGATTGTGGAACAGAATATGCTGGACTTTTATTAAAAGTTCTCGACCTAATTTGTGATCTCTAATCTGGCCAGTAATTAGGTATGCAATCCAGACATTACCTGAGTAATTAACAGTGAATTAATTCTATATATTTAAGGTTACATTTTATGTATTTGCACATAATTATTTAACTGTAAACTGTATTATTTCCTTATTCTAATAGATGTAGGACTCAGTGGATTGTATTTCTCAGCTCTACCAATACATAAAGTTAAGCAATCTTATTTGCAACTGGTGCAGTCCAAAAAAAATAAAATAAATAATTTTGCAATAGCTGAATGTATATATGCTTTGCCAGTAGTAACACCTTTAGGTTACCACAGCAACAACCATTTTTCCCGAGTAAGACCAAATTATTGTTATAAATAATACAATAACACAAACAAAGAGCTTACATTCAAATTGACTGATGCAAACTCTTTTAATAGTGTATTTCTGATAAATACAGTGTATCCTGAAGGACCATTAAGGCTCCTTGTCATTTTCATTATTTCGTTATTTATTGGTTTTACTTTAAGAGTAAGTTTACCCAAATCACACACACACATATACTGGAGGTGGTACAGAGCCTGTTTCTGATGAAAAATAAATCAGTTCATTAAAAAAAAGGACGGAGGAGGGGGGTTAACAGTCACAAAACAATTTTCCAACATTTGGATTCTTGTGACTCCAGTGCTAACACACCAAGTCACACTTTTAAGCATGAGATGAGAAAAGTTCTTATAGCAATTCAAAATTAAAAGAACTACAGGAGCTCTAAAGAAATGTTTGTGCTAAAACAAAGAAATTTGGCCATCTGTTTCATTTGAATTTGAATTTCTTTCAAGCCCTTGTCTCGGTTTCTTTTTAGCACAATGCTTGAATGTGTATCTCGGAGTGTGTGGCCCTGTGGTGAAGGGGAGGGTGCACGAAAATCATCTGTCTAAACAATTACATGTGTGGATCTTGAACACCTGTTTGTACTGAGCAGGTGCCTTGACCTTTTTCTTTAAACAAAACTTTAGGATGCTAAGTAGTTTTAATTCAACCAACACTTTTAACAAAGACAGCTCTTTTTGTTAAAGAGATTACAATAATATGGATGTGACGAAACTCAGTTCGGACAGTGGTAAACATTAGCAAACCCTCACTAGGTTTGGATAAAGTCTACGCTCACAAGCCTGTCAAACCTGCATTTGAAACATAAGTTGTTGGCTACCATATAGCAGTATAGTATTGCAACATGGCATTTGGGTCTCCTAACTAAAATAGTATGTGGATTGAGTTTGTTGCTGTAGCACAGGGACTGCCCCTGAAAGCTGCCTTTATTAAACCTGCTCATCATTCCGCTTTATAATAAAGCATAACGTCTTTTTTATAAAGTGATGAATAGCCAGGTAAGCATGGATCAGCATGAATACGCGTTGACACGTTTTGTATTCTGCACATATTTACTTTTAAGCTTGGCTTGGATAATTCTAATTACTGCTAATATAAAAGTACCTTACTATCAAGTAAAGCCACATGCTTAGGGTCTTTATTGGGGATTTTTGATGAAATCATAATACATCAAACGCCGTGCAATACCCGCACCTGGCTCTTTTAATAACAGTTTGTTTGAACTGCAATTGGGCATTTATTTTACTGAATATCAAAGCTGTTTGACTGTGTGCTAGTCTTGTTTGCTGAACTCTCTGTCAGTGAACATTTCAGTAATAATGACAGAGTGGGAGGGCCACTCGGTGCAACTAATAAGGACAGCGATCGGGCTGGCGATCCCACTGTGACTTTTATTTCCAAGTCTTGGAATCCGGAATCGGACTGGTCGTATCCACACATGGACTATGCTTTTGTCGCGGTTTTTTTCTCTGTTTTCGCCTTAGAGGAAACTTTGTCAGATACTGTAAGTACTTATGGATCAAATTAATTTCACAGTAAACGAAAATTTTAAAAAAAGAAGAAGAAAAAACGGCTTAATGTAGAAATCAGCTTGTGAATTTATTGAAAATCCCCTTTTAGCGAGCATATTTTGCTTGTTTTCTCATGAAAGTGTGTTTTTGTTTTTTTATTTTTTTTATTTGTTTCCCTACTTAAACTCCCGGCTTCATCCGTGTAACTTGTGCTGGGACCCATGCCTTAGAAACGGCTTATTTCTGATTTTCTTGCAGCTCTGCAGTAGTAAACACGCACCACTTTTGCCTATTTGTTAACCGCAAATTACGTAATATTCTAAACACTGAACGAATATCAAGTGCTACGTTTCATACTTATTAAAAAAATGCTCAAAAGCCCACAGCCAATCAGCGGTCGCGCATAGAAACACGCTTCTTTGAATATTGCATAGTTGCACTGAGTTATTGCCTCTGAGCGAAAGTGGCTGAATGACTGATGGATCGAACAACTTAAGTGCGCACGGTTTTGCCTGGTGCCTGTGATACATACGGGCTCATAGCCTCCGTGTAACTACCTTAAACTGCCCCTGTGTCCGTTTAGTTGATGCGGATATAGAGCAGCTGTGTACCATGCTGCTGCACCGGGGGGAGCGTGTGGGTTTAAAGTTGCAGCTTAACTCGCGCACAGACCTCGATAATATGACTGCGATTTGTAAAGGTGTGGAGTAACTGCGACAGCAGGGTCCGCCTGCAGAGCCGCGTCTGTTGCATGCATTTGCAGAAATGACCAGAATAATATTACTCCTCCACGCAGACACGGAATGTGATACCTCTGTACTGCCTGTGACGCTTGCATAGACTGGCTGTAGGAAGTGGCATGGCCACTTCATTACCGAGCGCCATGATACTGTAGGCCTGCATGTAAAACTTTATGATCAAGTGGGGGAAGGCTTGAAGGGTGGATGGGAATTATGTATGTATGTATAAATGTATGACACGCCTTTCTATTGCCTTTTTTGTAAGATAGATATTGGAATTACCTTAATTTGCTGCAGCTGTATTAGGGCCTTTTGAGATCTTTTTTAGGAATGTCTTCAGAGTTGTCATCCATGGTGGAAATAGATAAAGTCTTTGCAACTACGCTGCCACAAATTTAAAATCCTCCAAACTGCTTATTCATTAGGAGGTCACTTCATACTTTTAATGCATAATTTTAATATATCACAATAAAACATGAGATTTTATCATGCACAGTACCTCAAGTGCACTCAGATTCTTTTTAACCTGTACAACTTGAAGTCCTTGAAAGTCGTTGAAAAAGCCATGCGAAATTCTTTTACCTTCTGAGTTCATCTGTCAACATTATTTTGGCAGCGCCCCAGTTTTTCAGGCAGAGCAATATAGTCGTTTCTAAAAGTGTTAGTCTGAAAAGCCCACTAAAGTTGAGGGTGCTTTACCGACTGTACTTTGGAGCAAACACTCACCATCCAGTGCGACTACCCAAAAAATGTGTGGCACCTCTGCAATGGCACGAAAGTAATCCAGAAGATTTTGTTTGGCAGCATAGTGAAATGGTTCAGGGGACTTTGTTGTAACTGGAGGTTTCCAGGTTTGATACTCACATGTGATATCCTTGAAGAACATAGTGTTGATTGAGTACTACATAAATAAAAGATCAAGGCTGTGGCAATATGATCAAGAAGCCAATCCCATATAAAATCCATCGTACAATTACTGTCACACATACTGTAAATATAATTTGGAATATTGATTAAAAAAGAGGAGAGCAGATGAACAGACTGAATGGATTACAAGCTGTAAATGGAGAAGCTTGGCTCGCTGGATAAGCAGAACTTAAAGAGAAACATAGCTAAGTGTAAACACTGCTGTGGTATAAACATCTGAATTCATCACTGTATGAAAACCTTAATTAGAACAAAACACCGAACAACTCGCCAGCTTCACCATGGTGACGGAAATAAATCCAAAGTAAGGCTTTAGGGACATTTGAATGCACAAGTGAGTTAGGTAAAGCAGGAAAATCAGGCGCATGTTAGTGCTGAATTCAATTCTGCAATAATACAACTTGCATATAATATAATGGAGTCATGTTTCTAATAATGAAAAGAAGTGATTAGAATGTGACAGATGTGTGTATATTATTTCTTCCTCACTTGAATGTAAACAACTTTCTACACTAGATTGCTAAATGAATCCAAATAAATTAAAAGATACTGTTGCCCAACATAATAGCATCCTTATAATAAAATGGGCTCATTGTTTTCTTGGCTATTCTCTGTAATACAGCGTGTTTATCCATTGTTTAACTTAACTAAACTGAAGCTGAAATTAAAGCCATGTTGTTTCCATCCAGGTTTTCAGGTGGACTGCTTTCTAGAGCCAGAGCCATGATTTGCTTGTTAAGGTGGACTGCTCTCCTTTGGACTTTAAATTCCATTCCTTGCGCTTTGGGGATGGCAGTGAGCAAACAATCAGGTACATGGGTTTGTTGTCTGCAACGTTTTGCTCCTAACAGCATATTCCTTTTAACAAAATAAGATTATTGATGGTGATATTTTACGAATAAACTACTAGCTCTGGACTCTGATCTTTTATTAATGTCAATTTGAAGAAGATGTAGACAGAAATATTTAGACTCTATTATAATAATAGACATTTGTCTGTGTCCAAATCCATCTTCATCGGTTTTTGTTTGCAATGACTTTACTTGAGTCCAAACTTTTGATTGATAAATATGTTACACAACAATCAAAATGCATAAAGCTGATCTCCATTTCATTTTTTGTGAAGTTGATGTAGCCACGTCTCTAAATTGGATCCGACACTCTCGTTTCTTCATTTTTTTTTAATGTTCTAGCAAAACTTTTAAAGATTAACAGAAAAAAACAACAACTTTTAACTGATTTTTCTGGTCTGATGTGTTTTTTCTCCTTAGGAAGTTTTTGCCTTAAAAAAATTACAAGAAATGCACAGTGGAAATTATTTCGTGATGGATTCACTGTCTTTTCTGTAATCCTAGTCAAAAGTGCTTCAAAATATAAATGAACATCTGCACCCAACACAAACAATTTCTCGGTTGCTTTCCCCTAGATGGCTCATGCCCCCCTCTGAGCGTAGAGGAACGCAGGTTTTCTGATGTTTTAGATCGTCCCCTGGAAATCACAGGTAGGTACCGAATGAACACGGTGGCTTTGTGGGGATGTAGACGTCGGCTTGTTCAAATCTAGTAACGCATTGTAATCCTGTCCCGCAGGATTTGATCTCACAGAAATGTTTCTTCTCCGAAAGGGAACAATCGCAGAAGACCTGCCATCATTTCGATTAGGAAGCAGTCCACTTATTAAGCCAACAAAGTAGGTAGCATTCACATCTGTGCTAGGGGTGCATGTGTGTGTACATTCTTCATTATTTATGTTTGCATTGTTCACTGGGAGAAAACCTCACAATACAACCATGCTATAAAAATGTGTGTCCAAGGCTATGATCAGTATTGAGCTGCAGGCTATTGCTCTCTGGCTCCTTCATGTGCTTATTTCTTATAACTCAAATATTGCAGGACCTTATGATATTTTACTGCTAATGTGTGTCTTTATTGTGGTGGCTATAATGAGAATTTGAGCTCGCTTTCTTGGATTTGGCTGAAGAAAATCTAAATAAAAATAAACAGTGTAGCCATAACTGAATTTCACAGAAGGCTTGAACTGATGCAACCCAGATACACCCTGCTCAGAGCAATAGTTCTATTTGCCTTGGCTAATAAGGGCAAGCAGTGAGGTGAGCTGGTAGATGGGGAATAATTTGAACAGAATTAATATATATTGCATTTTATTCTTGAAATCTCATAAGGGCAAAAACTGGGACATAAAGGAATGGGAAAAAAGTCCCAAGCTTGTATAATAAGACAGGAATATTAAAATGACTATGTAAATGACACATTCACTTACTGAAGACCTTTATTCCCCAGTCATCTGGCAGGGTCATGATGTGGCGTCACCTTGCTGCTGCTGATGTGACGTGTATAGTAGCATCATATTTTATAGAATTTATCAAAGCCTATTGCCCTTTTTACATTTGTATCACATGAGACCTGGGACATAAGTGAAAGCGCGATGGTTTGCATAACTTATACTGAGGTTTTAAAAATGAATCCTGAGATATTCATTGTTTTGTGTCCTCGGGTTGTAACAGTGAAAGAGAACACTTTGTCATTCTTCCAGGAGGGCAGGATATTTTTAGTATTTTTATATGCAACTGTAAACATTTACTGCCTCCCTCTCTCTCCCCCTCTCCCTCCTTGGCTGGGTGAAAAAAAATCTTTGAGCCAGGTGATTTGTGATCTGCTTCCCTGTTCAGTCAACCAGCTGAAAATACATTCACTTCAGCCCTTCACTCAGTCTGGGCCCATAGTGCAAGAAGATGCTGCCTCTCGGTGACGCTGCTGACAGTGGCATTGGTTATAGTGGCAGGACTGCGATCCCTCTCATATCCAATTATCTAAGTACTTTGACAGGTGATACTGCATGTCAGCTGAGGAGGGAAAGCGAGGGCAATTGCACGAAGCAGGAGGCCCCAGTGCCCCTGCCACAGCCAGTAAAACATTGCTCACTCCTCTCGCAGCATATGCAGCAATAGATGCGTAGATATGGCTGATGTTCTGCCCACTCCTTGGCACAATACACATTACGGTTCATAGATCACTGCTGACACGCTCGTGGAACATTTGTGTGAGGGAGCACATTTGCCCGGCAAAAAGCAACACATATTCATCCATAGAGTATTAAAGCAGAGTGTTGCAGTTGCTCCCAGCATTTTTATAGCTTATTTATGTCTGCTCTGGCTCTCTTTGGATCATATACTAACTTGTGTCTCACATCTGAAATGCATGTTGGTCTATGGACTACATTTTAAATATGTTTAAATGGTTCTCAACTGTCTGTCTTACATATTGTTGTACATAGTTTAGCAACTCAAGCTCTTCAAGCTTCAGTAGAATTTGCAATAGACTCCATTTTTGTGCTCAAATCGGAACCAAGTTCTGCTTTCGAGCAGGTACTGTAGCTTTTGTGGGGTGTTTTTGTTAACAATGCAAATCAAGCAAAACAGGAATTTAATCAGCACTTCTTTTTAATGTGACTGCAAAATCTTATAATGTAGCTTATGCTGAGATTTGTTTAGCAACCGACAGTTTTAGCAATTTGTAACTGTTGTGGCAGCTTATTCATCATACAGGCTTACTGTGGTCTACTAGTTTACTAGTTTATATTCTACCTGGGTTGCCAATAGGGAAGTTGCAGAGTGCCCTCTTTGCTTTAACATTAACTTGCTGTTTGGTTATGCAGAGCTATCAAAACCATGTAATTAGTAATTACTCCCATTTAGTACCTTTGCCCTACATGTAAATTGTGCTTTAAGCACAGCCATTGCATTAAACTTCTGACCAAGTGTCCATATGTTAGGATTTGGACGAGAAGCTGCTTCACTATTGCCACAACACCAAAAACGCCAAAGGATACTTCTGGGATGCCAGTGGCTTTGACACCATAGGAATGAGGATGAGCTCGTCTTACAAAACCTAGCTACCTTCGTGCACCTCAGCTGTACAAAGTAAAATGTCTATATTCTAGATCAAATCCATGCCAGTAAAAAAAACTCTTCTACCGAACGTAAACACATAAGGTGGGCTCACGTTGGGAAAAAGAAGTAATAGCCATTTGGCGCTTGAATGATGGATCTAGGGTAAAAACTGACACGGTAAAGTCAACTTTGAACTGTGCAGAGATTGAATGTCAGTGATAAGGACGCGAGCCAACTAGGCTTGCATTTGAGATTTGATTGTTTCAGCTGTAGCAATCTGATTCCTCTAGCTCAGTTTAAAGACTCTTCTTGGATAGGATTTATTACAAGGCAGGAGACTTAAGTCTCTTCCATAAGATTGCCTGCCAGAAAAGTGGTGTTGCTGTGATAATTCTGTCAAACCATTGTGTCAGCCAAGCAACGCAGACAGTCAAAAGCACGTTCCAAGAGTGGTGACAGTTTTCAGAAAGCACATGATCACTCCTTATAAAAATGGAATTAGCTCTGAGTGTAATTCTTGTGTCAGGGTGTTACTGTGCGTGATCTTGTGTGCTTCTCTTATTATGGTTGTGCACACACAAAACTATTGTAATGCTCTGAGGTGTTTTTCCTCTGCTCTCCCTTACTGCTATGGACGTTCCATTGCTTTGGCTTGAAACCAGACCCTACTTCTTCACACTGTAAAATACAAGCCTATAGTAAACAGTCATTATAAGGTTTGCATTGAAACGAAGATTTACTAATGAATGCGATGTGGAATGCATTTCTTTTTGTTCCAAAGTGTATTTCCCAATACAAATTATTTTTATTCAAATGGGACTTGTAAAAGAAAATGCTGGCAGGATCACTTACAGCATGTTGTGGAAGTGTTTTGCATGTGTACTAGGGAAATTGAATGCAAATCCTTCTAAGTCATGCAGAGTAGCACTTTCCCAAAGAATCAGACAAGCAGTGTCAAAACAAGTAACACAGAGCTCCACATTTGGCCACTTAACCACCGGGGCAGTCAACATGAGGTCAGGGTTGGCGTAATCACATACAGAGATTATAAAAAGCTGTTTTGGCTGTGAACCAGGAGAAATAAATGGAAATTTTCTTTCTTTTTTTTTTTTTAAAATTCACCCATTATCACCTACTAAATCATGCCGAGTAGCATTTTACCAAATAATTAAACTGTGGTCAAGGTAACCAACCCTGAACTCCAGGTTTAGCCACTTAGCCATAGCAGTCAACACAATGTCATGACCTTTAACCCTCTAGCCTCTCAGAGAGAACTGTGCCAGCCCACTGAAAGAACTTTGTGAAAAAGGGTGTAAAGTGTGGTACGAATAAGAATTCTCTTTTATTTTATGATGTTTCTTGCTCCTTAAAAATGATGTGTAATCCATTTAGTACAAATAGGTACTGTATGTGCAGCCTTAAAATGTTCTGCACTGCATTTATTTTCAGAATCTCACTTTTATAAATTGCCACGTCACTTTTGATATTGAATTGCTGCTGAAATAATCCTTTAGCCCTTAGGCAACAAATGACCTTCCCAGTCCTCGGCCCCTCACGGAAGCATTTGATTTTTCAGGAGCTTTAACTTGGAGCATTTATCATTTTAGTCATGTACCGTGCACACCAAAAAAATCGCAAAGAATTCAAGGGACACAATAGAAGAAGGTAGGAAGCTCTGAGAGAATAGGAGATGATATATTGGAGTGAAAACTAATTTCCAACCTGTCTGAGGAAACACTCTCTCTCGCTTCCTCCCCCAGGCTGTGCTCTGCCTTCTCAATGACCTTATCATTGCATTATTATTATTTTTGCTGATCTTGATTTATTATGTTTATGCTCTTCCACTTTTGGCTGTTAATTTGAGTGTGGAGTTGGGTTATAGGTTATAGTATTTTGAAGGATATAATGTTTTTTGTTTTTTGTTTTTTTTAGCACAACGTATAAAATAGTGAAAGAGAGTGAGGGTGTGGGCTGAGCAATGAGTTAGTGAATAAGATGTAAATCATTTGGGAGTGGGTATGATTTGAAATATGATATTGTTTTTCTTATATATTCCAGTTTTTTTCTGTGTATTTTTCTTCTGCTGGAGGAAAGGAAAGGTGTGTTATTTGACTTTACAGAGTGGCTGAGGTCATAGACATAAACCCTCTGTAACTGTGCGTGTGCGTCGTATGTCAGCGAAGTAAAAGATTGACTTCTGTGACTTTGGATCAATGTCTATATGCTTTCATCCATCTGAGTGACAGGGAAGCCTGTATAAAATACATCAAGCTAAATGGAATTAAGTTTGTCAGGTTTATTTATGTGGATGTCTCTTCAGCAAGAGGATACTGAAATTATATTGATCACTGAAGCTGATTGGCTGGTTCATTATTCAGTCCCTGAAAGCTTTAAAGTGCCTTACATTCTGCACTGAAAAATTAAACCGAACACTGTTATTCAATTTTTTAAAATTATTTCAAAGTTAAATTTAATATTGGTGCTCTGTTGGAATGTAACTGTTCCTGATGTTCTTTTTAGACTGATATTTCCAAATGGGCTTCCAAGTGAGTACTCCCTTGTCTCCATCTGGCGGGTAAGAAGAACTACAAAAAAAGATCGGTGGTATCTTTGGCAGATATTTGATCAGTCAGGAGGCAGTCAGGTTAGTGCCAATATATATTTTAATTGTGTGTAATAGTTTGAGTATGTACACAGATATGGTGCGGTGACAGTCCTCTTCTTTACATCTCAGGTAAATGTTGTGGTTGACGGCGACAAGAAGGTGGTGGAGTTTTCTTTCCAGAGCCTGCTGAGGAACACTCTCCGCTACACTTTTAAAAGCCGTGACCTCCATGCCCTGTTTGATCGCCAGTGGCACAAGCTGAGCATTTCTGTACAGACCAACGCTGTCTCCATTTACATGGACTGCAAGCTAATAGAAAGAAGAGCGACTGACGAGAGGGCCAGCATCGACCCCAGTGGGCGCACACTGATCACAACACGAATAGAGGATGGACGGCCTGTAGATGTATGTCCCATGATAAACGTGTGGAGCACGTTTTTTTTTCTCAACTGCAAATTTAGCAGTTTGTTATTCAATATGTTCACTTGTCCAATATGAAAGCACCCCTACTGCTTTCAAACAACATTCAAAACATGTGTCAGGTGCATCTTAATCAGTTTAAGTCTTCAGTTTTACACATGTTCATGACATACTCAACACATACAGTGCTGTGCAAAACTCTTGGGCCACTCCTCATTTCTTTATATTTTGTTCCCAGTGAGACAGGCTCGAGCAGTTGCTCTTCAGTCTTTCTGAAGGTCTTTCAGAGTTTTTCTTTGGACATTGGATACTTTTTCATTCATTTTCAGTCCACTCCTTGTAACTTCAGGGGATTATTTTATTTATTTGTCAAGACACTTAAATCATAAATCAATCTTGTGTCTACACATAATAGATAATTTGGGAAAGAACCAATTTAAAAAATATCTTTAGGCACTTTGTTTCTAGCAGATTGGTGCCAAACACATATTTTTCCCCCATTTCAAATGCCTGTCAAACAGTCCAGTTTGACAGGCATAAATATTGTTTTTGCACCAATAAGGTGATTCCCAAAGAACCAGATAATTTCAGAAAACTGGACAATTGGAAAGCACAGCTATTTACAACAGATGAACATGATCTGAAAGTCATGTCCTTAAGAAATAGGGGGGGAAAGCAACAAAGATCTGACAGATGCATCTGGCCCATTTGTTGATCCGTCTACGGTTCACTGAAGCCTCAACAGAAATGGCCAAGGAAGAGGAACAGGGAGAAAAGGCTTAGCTATGCTAAATTACATACACAGCCACAAAGTGGCAAAAGGTCTTATGGAGTGATGAATCCAAATTTTAATTTTTGGGGTTCAAATTTATGGAGCAGGTTTGCAGAAAAGCAAATGTCTACAATCACTTGTAAAATATGGTGGAGGCTCTGTAAGGGTTTCAACCAGTGGTGTTGGGGATCTTGTCAAAACTGATGGAATCATGAACACAGAAAAGTACTGGGATGATATGAGATGATGTGGGATGATCTTGAATGAGAACATATTAAAAAGCAACCAACATCCAAAGAAGAGCTTTGTATGTCCTTCACGAAGCCTGGAGAATTATTCCTGAACAGTACTTCAACAAATTACTAGTAAGCTTGACTTCAGGCTGTGCTGAAGATTAAATAATAATAGTGGTGGTCATAGCAAATACTGACTCTCAAGCTCATTTGAATAATATGTTGCATTATAAACTATATTTCCACGTATGTTTGCACATTTTTTAATGAATCGCTGTACCTGTTTCCAGTTTTCCTAGCGAAAACGAAAAAAGGAGGGGTGGCTCATAACTTTTCCACCATACTATAATAGATGGATGCTTCTACTGTAGTGTAAGCTTTTAATGTCCCCTTTTGAAAGCTTGTTTTTCGGCTGTCGGCACCTTGTTTTTTTAATCATTTGCATGAGAGGAGGGAGCCTTTTTTTTAGTTAACACTAGCAAGAATGGTTAGCAAGCTACATCTATAGACAATTGGGTTGCTATTAAACAAACAGATAAAATACATGAAATTCAATCAACAGAACTGGAGCAAAAACGTCTTGGACAGGCTTTTAGTAAAGTTTAACCACACAACAAGCCATATCATTTTTCAGATAAATGAATTAAAAATAATCTAAAGGCTACCAGCACCAGAAACAGTCCAGAGATCCAGTTACATCCACCTGTGTGAGTAGAGTTAGCAGACAACTAGCAGCCTAGTCTTCACCCACCTGTCACTTCAAGCAGCAGCAGCGCTTTTAATGCAAATGGGTGACCTATAAACAAAGTAACTCCTGTACAGCTTTTACAAAAGTGGGAAATTAGTTAAAAAGAGCATATTTATTCACTTTTATTCAATAATGCAGTACTGGAGAAGAAAAGTGTTTACTGTGCTGAGCAGTAACCATGTTTATTCATGTTTATTCAAGTCAGGCACTTTAGCGCTGGAGTCTGTTGGGTTGCTTTTGGAGTCAGCCTGAAGTGACTATTCAGTGAACTGCATTTGTTGGCACTTCCGCATTGGCTTCATTTTTCAGCCCCGGAGGTGGCCAAAGTGCCAAAAACAACAAAAGGTCACCTTGCCATTAGGTCAGCCGTGCCTCTGGATAGACCTTGGCTTAAGAAGGATTAACAGCTGACTTTTTATCCTTTGTGACTGATAATAGTATGAGTAACACCTCAAAAAAACCAACAACATAGGTTTCAAATTCTCCTCTGAACCAGTTGCAAGTCATGCAGAAGTTGAAGCTTTTTAAAAATATATGTTATGTTTTTAATGTGGTGCTTTGGAGATGTTTTGCAGGCGACAGGAGTTGCAGCGTTGGGACATTATGGCTACAGTAGCTGACAAGTGAACAAATTGTGCTGTCTGAGCCAGTGAAGTGTAGACATTTGTCAGTTAAAAGAGGAGCATGACGAGATGACGAAACTGTTGAATAATGCTGTGGTTGTCTCCACAGATTGAACTGAAACAATTTCTAATCTACTGTGACCCTTACATAGCTGAGCTGGAAAACTGCTGTGAGCTCCAGGACCCAAAGGTAAAACGCTTTAACGCCTCAGAAAACAACTGAATTTACTATTATTATTATTTTTATTTACAATAAAGACTAAGAGCTAATGAGCTGTAAAAAAAAAGACATTTGTGTTTTGTTATGCATTTCACAAGTAAGAAAATAAATTAGGTTACTTTTTTTCTTTAAAAAGTGAAAGACATTTAAGCTTCTTGGTAATCGTGTGCCACATACTGTACGGCTCAACTTTAACCATTACATAAAAGTGTAAGAAGATTTTTGTGTCATCCAAAAGAACGCCCGGCCCCAGTTAGAAATGAAATAAGATAGAACTTCTATCATCATAAAATCATTAAGAGCTAATGTTACGGTGATTCCAAATGGAGACGTGACCTTTGAACTCTTGTCATTGCATCTCTCCCTAAGCATCCTGCCATGTCAGTGTAAAGTTACTCTTAGAGAATTCTCACAACCTTGAGAAGCGCTTATGACAGGTTGTAAGCTTCACATAAGCATGAAAAGGTTGTCTGGGTTAAGTGTGCTGCACGTGACAGTGGCTTGATTTTTTTTTTGCCCTGAAGCAAGAACACAAAGGAAAGCGTCTAAGTAGTGAAATTTCTGTATTGATCCAGTGTGGAGTCGAGAGGACATTTAATGGGACTGCCCCTCCCCTGGTTACAGCTCAGATCCCCTTGATGCTGTCTCAGCCAGCCCCACAGTCCATTGACAGATGTCACTGTCCAGCTGAAAAGGTACACTCAATTCAACCCAGCAGGGGCTTCTAATTGAGTGAATGTAATGGCTGCTGAAACTGAGCCAGCCTTTGATTTGACGCCACGTGTACTCAATCCGATATGGGCATTCTAGAGACATTTAAACACCATTTATATCAAAAACTATTTTTCTGCAATGCCAACCAAACACATTACAGTCTAAATGTATTTACAAATGCAGCTATAATTCTCCCAAGCATGGCAAATATGCACTGTGCAATAGATCTGTGAAGCTGTAAGGAATTCTTTCACCTGCAGATATTAATGTTGCCTTCAATAACAAACTAAGACGGTACAGCCGCAAGGTGATGTCTTTTATCAGTGGAAATAGATGTGAGATACTGGAATATACTCGGATAGTAAAAAAAAAAGAAGATTATATTTTTAAGTAACATATGACTAAAAACATCATTGCTTACTGCAGGTGCAGTATATTACTTGTATTTTTTTACTGGCAAAACAGAAGCAATATTTCTGTTATTTCAAATGCAGTTATGGTCCGATGCTTATACACACTCATCATGCACGTGAATGTCGTGGTAATTTGGGGCTTTTTAAATTTCTTTGAATTGTTCTTTTTCCAAGTTGGAATAACTGTACAACATATATCTTTAATCACTTAAAAAAACAAGAATTTGGTGCATAAGTTTCAGTTTATTTTGGATTTTCTTTCATCCACATAAGGTGAAAAGTATACATACAAGCTCAAATATATAAATATATTCGCAAAACACTAATCTGGATTAGTTGGTGCTTACAGTGTCTTTTGACTTGACAAAGCCAAGTCCTATTGACATCGCACTAATAGTGTGATTGATTACAACTGGTAGTTTCTCTTTGCCAGCATAAAAAAACTGACGAATATCACAAAAATGGGAAAGTCCAAGGTTTTGGATAAAGCCGGCTAACATTAAGGTCGAGGAATGGCTTCACAACAAAATCTACCTAAACACTATGTCTGTGCCAGGATATCAACCACTTTAAATGTACTCTACCAGTTCTGCCAAGAAGAGTGGTCAAATAACCAGTCAGGATTCTGCCAAAAGCACCTGGTTGAGGTGCAACTTCCTAAGGGAAATTTAATCACATTTTAGTGGGTGTGTATGGATATTTGAGGCTGTGTGTAGGCTCTGACCCTGTGTGAATTGGAGAAAATCCAAAATAAATTCAAACTTTTGCACCCAATTGTTCTTTTTTAAAAGTCATTAAAGATGTATGCTGCACAATTCTTCCACCCTGGTAAAAAGAAAATTTCGAAGAAATCATTAAAAGCCCAGTATTACCATGGGATTCGTACCCACGATGTGTGTAAGTAAACAGCTGACTGCAACTGTATGTTAAAAGATTCATGCTGTTGATATAAATGTGTCTACGTATAGTTTCAGTCCTGCATGTTATGTGTGCACAGGCTGGTCTTCCAGGCGTAGCTGGACTGCCAGGACAAAAAGGAGATAAAGGGGAAAAGGTAAGGGCCAGATTTTTAGTGCTTTTTGATAAATGTGTTTGTCTTGACATCTATTCAAGGGAAAATGGAGTTGTTCAGGAAATGTTAGTGATTTCACAGAAGTCTCAACTTGATCTTGTCAGCATTGTGTTCAGAACCTTTATTGCAAATGACCATAGTTTTGTTCTCAGATACTCTTAGCTGCAGCTCTGGGTTTGCTTTCTGGGCAGTGTTGCTGGTTTTCCAGGACAGCTACAAGGTCTAAATGTCAAGAAAGACAGAAAGGCCCCGTAGGACGCATTTATACTTCATTGTTAGAGGAAGAGAAATAGAGCTTTCTTTCAGCAGGGAAATATCTATATTGGAATGCCTAGCAAAGTCCATGTTCTGCAGTCAAGGTCCTTTGGAGAGGCTACTGTGCAATTATCTGCAAGCATTCACATTTTCTCCCAAATATCCCAAGCAGTGTGAATTGGTAAATCATACATTTGTTCAATCACTTGAAAATTGGTGTAGTTTAAAAAAAAGATTCATGACAGCTCAATAGACAAGTGGAAATGTAAATTGTAAATGCCCAGTCACTGAAAATTGTGGGTGTCGCGTCAGTTGGAGGACAAGAAAAACATGAAGGAACCATCAAATACCGAGACAAAAAGTGTTATTATTCCCTAGACAAATCACATTGTTTGGAGAGTCAAATCCCCTTTTAGCTGCCTGTACAAGGTTAAAAAGTGACAAAAGGGAGAAAGCTCTGAATGAAAAGAATTCACAGGGACGAGCAGGTGGTGGTACTGTACGCCTGATAAGACTATATGGCTTTTGGGGGTCAGTATCCTAATTACCATGATGTGGCTGTGGGATTAAGATATGTAGGATGACTGTAAGAGTTTTTGTTCCGTGAAAACCAGTCATTTCTGCAAGGCACAAAAGCATCATTTTAAATCATTTATACCTTTAGCATCCAACTCTGGAATTTGTAATCGGGCTTTTTTGAGCTTTCTACACCGTGAGTTGTTACTGCTGCTAAAGAGGCATCGTGATTAGTGCTGGTAATCCTTTGAACAGCACCAAAAATGTACTGCCTGTGTGCAAGCATATGATTATAGATTGTTTTTCTTTCTAGCAGAGTAAAAAGGACTATATTTCGTCACTTTTGCATGCCAGTTGTCACAATGTCACTGAAAATCTGGAGACACTGAACATCTGTAATTGTTAGAACAGATACATAACAAATAATAAAGACATGGATGCTTAATCCTTTTAACTTTTTTAGCTTTTTATTTTGTTAGCTGATGTTTAAAATAGGCAGCGATCATTTTAAATATCATTTTTAAACTAGCTTTGTTTAAGAAAGAAAGAAAGAAGCAAAGGAAAACAGGTTGCTCTAATCAAATACGTTGATGTGCTATAATTGGCCTCTAATGATTCTTAAATGACCCAGCAGAGATCGGTTCTCAAGCTGTAATGTGTCTGTGCATTTGGAATGTGGTTGAAGTGCTGGTGATTAATTAGTTTCTGGTAATTGGTGTGGGTATTTAAAGTGGGTAAAATATAACAGGCTGCTGGTTCAGTTTGCAGTATAGCAGGCACTGTGCAAGTTGTCAGTGCTTTTGTTACATCAAAAAATAGCCATTTAATGTCCCAGTAAGTGTTAACCTGGTACCTAAACGATGTCCAAATAGCACTTTAGCACATATCTTTTATCTATCTACAAATAAACCAACAATAATTTGAACATGCTTCTCACCCAGGGCCCTTCCTTTTTTATTGTTATTATTTTTCTGCAGGCCACATCGTGCGCTATGACTCAGTTACTCATACTGTTAACACCTGAAATCTAATTTCAGGTTTTCAACAAATCAATACTTGGCAAGATTTGTTTACTGACTGAACAACAAAATTTATAACAAATCCTATTACTGGCTTGAACACTAAATCAATGGCGTTAAGCAAAGACATGATCAGGGGCCACACATTCATGACTAAGCCATCTCGTTCAATCAGTTAACACACCACCGGTATTAAAAGCAGAAGCTAAAAAGAACCCTGGTGATTTTTTGGTAGTTATATTAGACCAGCTGTTGCGACTGCTGATCAGATAAATGTGATTTTGCTGCCACATTGAATAGAAACTTATACATGAGCTAAACTAAGAGCTAGGCACACTTCATTTACATTTCTAATATAGTTCTATTTTCACCTTTTTTTCTTGATCTTTTTATTCACCTCTTCAATCACTTTTTATTCATGCTATGATGTAGTAAATTAGCTGCTCAAAGTGCAGAACACACAAAAACCATCCATCCAGCCACTCTCTTATGCTTATCTAATTCAGGGACGGGGGAGCTGGTGCCTTTCCCCGCTCCTGTAGGGTGAGTGCTGGGGTACACACTGACAGCTTTCTAGTGTGACACAGAGCTACAAAAATCATTTTCAATAAAAATATAATCTGCAATTCAAGTTGAATACTTGTTCATATGCAGATGACAATTGAAATCAATACTTCAGCTATAGCAGCATGAAACCATCTGTGTACTGACAGTAAGATACACACACTGGACACTTTATTAGGTATACCTGTTCATCCACTTAATGATGCAAAAATCTAATCAGCTGATGACATGGCAGCAACATGGCAGATCAGTGTATTTAGGTATGCAGACATGGTCAACACAGCCTGTTGTTAGAACTTAATTATAAGAATGGGGAAGAAAGGTGGTTTAATTTACTTTGAATGTTGTTGATTTGAGAGATCTGGTCGGTAGTGCCAAACAGGCAGAACCTGCTCATCTGCTGGGATTTTAAATCCTGTAAACCCTTAAAAAATTATAGGATTTGTGAGGAATGGTCTGAAAAAGAGAAAATGTCAAGTATGCAGCTATTCTGTGGATCAAAATGCCTTGGTGATCTCACAAGTCAAAGGAGCATAGCCAGAGTGCTTTAAGCTGACCAGCCAGTGTGTGCAGAAGAGCATCTCTGAACTGTCTGAAGTTACGTTGAAGCAGATGGGCGACATCATCAGAAGACCACACTGGGGACCACTCAACTAAAAAAGAGAAAAACTGAGACTACAATTCACATGGGGTCACCCAGAATCAGAAAATAGAAGATATAAAAAATGTCACCTGGTCTAATAAGTTTCTGTTGCAACATTTGGAAAATTGTCAGAATTTGGAATAACTAACTTAAAGCATGGATCCATCCTGCCTTTTATCAATGGTTCAGGCTGGTGATGAATGGAGAATATTTTCTTGGTACATTTTCAGCCCCAGATAGGCATCATTTTTGCTGACCATATCCACAGTGTACCCATCTTCTGATGGCTGCTTCCAGCAGTATAATGTGCAATATCACAAAGCTTAGATTATCTCAAACTGGTTTCTTGAACATACCAATGAATTCTCTATACCCGAATGTACTTAAAGTGCCTCCACAGTCACCAGATGTCATTCCAATAGAGTACCTTTGAGATGTGGTAAAGCGAGAGAGTCACATCATGGATGTGTAGCCAACAAATCTGCAACAACAGTGTGATGCCATCGTGTCAATATGGACAAAAATCTATGTTAAAGTTTTCCATTGTGCTGTTAGATTGATACTGTGAAGAATTAAGGCTTTTCTGAAGGCACAAGGGTCCAACCCAGTACTAACACTGGGTAGCTAATAAAGCTGCCAGTGAGCATATACTAATGTAGCTAATTTGGCGTTTTAATTAGTCCACAAACCACACATTGAAAGATGATCAATAGTTTTGGTCACCCAATTGTGAAACTGTAAGAGTTATGATTTTGATTTGTCAGGCTGATCTACATGTGATGTCAAACACTGTAGGCTGTATTCTATTCACTGACAGTAGCTAACCTTTCTACACAAGTGGCAGTTTGTTCTTATAATATTAATTATGCTTTGATAGTCAGTCATTTATTTATTTATTTTATCTTATTTACACTGGCCTTGTTGTAGATTCATCTGTGTGGTATATTATGGTAGCATTTCACTTCTTCTACGTTATATTTAATTCTCATTGATCCCTGAGTTTCTAAGGCCAGTTTCTACCTGTTTCTCCCTGGTGGAGTGGACTTACAGGCGCTAGATGTTTAGAAGAGCTGAAGGTTTGCGTTGTCAGACCACATTCAGGACACACAAACCAACCTCTCTGAGGTAATTACTTTAATAAACTGGTTTTCAAGAGTTTCAGATTATTCAATTAACTGGCCAAAATCTACAGTTCTCCCCATTAACTGCTCCTTCCATAATTCTTCCTCTGCCCCACTGCAATCCGGAAATATTAAATATTTAGGTATTAATGTCTCTCCTAAGCTTTCAGACTTAACTAAACTAAACCACATCCCACTTCTAAAGAAAGTAGAAGGCGATCTGACTAGATGGAAATCTTTACCCATATCACTCATGGGAAGGGTCGCCACTATAAAAATGATGATCTTGCCAAAAATAAATTACTTATTTTTGATGATCCCTAACAAACCATCACAAGATTGGTTCAGATCTCTGGATTCATATATTTCCAAATTCCTTTGGAAAGATAAACCCCCGCGTATTAGCTTAAAAACGCTACAAAGAACCAAGGATAGAGGAGGATTAGATCTGCCTAATTTTCACCAATACTTCTTAGCCAACAGGCTTCAGTTCATCTCAGAATGGTTAAAACATACCTTCTTAGTTGAGCCCTGGCTAGATGTTGAACAGGCACTATGCAAGGATCTAGAGATTTCAGACCTACCATTTATTAGCTCAAACATCAAAAGACATGAATGCTTTAAAAGTATCAACATCAGCTTTTCTCTAACAGCATGGTGGGAGTTTCTAAAAATAACGGAGTCTTCATTAATCCCATGCAAACGTACACCTATCTGGAATAACCCTGACATATTACAAAACAATAATATGATTAATTTCCCAGAATGGAGTTGTAAAGGAATTAAATACTTAGAACATATATTAGAGGGAACAGAATTTATTCCATTTGACAGACTAGTTGAACAATATGGGATCAACAAGAC